TGAACTGGAAATTTGCATTTTTTCAAAAAATTTGCATTTGTTATTTTTTCACAAAGCAAGCATTTACGAAAAAACGACCGAGCTTCGTATAAAATGTTTTCTTGCAAAAACAACCAACTACCTGCACCAGGAAACGGGAACCAACTACCAACATTGCACCAACCAACCACCAACACTGCACCAACCATTTGGCAGCTTGTGTTTAACGTACGTCGGACAACGCAACAAGCCTGGTCTAAGGAATTGCGGTGAGCTACACACATTTGGCACACCCAGGTTATCCCCAACATCATCCATCTCATCGAACGGATAACGCCTGCATCCGGAGTTCTGCTCGCTCCCATTCTTCAGCAACAATTGGCCGTGGTCTTTTCGTTCACACGTCATGCAATGAAACAAATATCGCTTCAGCCTGGCGATACTGGGCAACGTCTAGAAAGGGGCCGTAGTGCGTCATGGGAGCAAGACAGACCGTACCTCGGGCAAGCCATATGTTTTAAGCGCAGTCTCTCCGTGTTTTTCGAGAGCTCTCTCTTCCGGCGCTGTGCCTCCCGCGCACTGCTCCAGCGTAAAAGCCACTGCTGTTTTACCGCAGCAGTGGCTTTTATGCTGGAGCAGTGCGCGGGAGGCACAGCGCCGGAAGAGAGAGCGAGTGCACTGACAATTTCCGGCACGCTCTTTTCTGGTTACCTCTAGCGCGTCTCGCAGCGAGCATCCGTAGTGCACATTGCGTTGCAGTTCACGCAACCTAGCACAACAGTGAGAGATCTGGAGACTGTGACTGACGAAGCCAAGCATACCGAACGTTTGCAGTGGTGAAAAGAAGTACTGTCGAAATGAATTTGCGAATCGCATCGTCTGTAATCAGTTACGGATGGAAGGTCGAACGTCCGAGGATAGCTGCGAATCCCGCTGCTGCTCTTCCTTTAGTACTTTCCCGCCCCACCCACTTCTTTTTTGTGTACCCCTGAGAGGACACTGTTTCCTCCATTCGGAAATCCGTGTAATCGCGAGCACCGTTTTTTGATGATGGCTCACCTCCGGATTTGTATCTGATTCGAGTGACCACTGTGTGCTGCCCAACAAACGAAGCGCATGTGGGGGACGCTGAAGAAGAAAGCGTCTGTGTGATTAGGATGCTGGAGCTGTATAGGGGTAGGGAAAAAGTCACAGACGGCTGGACATTTGTGGTTTAACCTAATTTCGTTTTTACGTCGAACAGATGCCAAATTCGTTGGAGTCCAAAAAGCCCTATTAGTCGAGCGCACGTCGAGAGCAAGCCCCATCCTCCTGTTTCGAGAACTTCCCTCACACGCGCGTTGCCCTCCCCCCTCCCCAAAGAAAAAAAAAAATGCAAATTTTGTTAGCTGGAAACGATTTCGGTATCGACTTCCCTCTTTCATCACGTTGGATATCTGACCTGACAGCAACTTTTTCAAAAAGATGCTTTGTGTTTCCCTTCTAAGGACCTCCAGGAATACGAATGTACAAAATGTACAAAAAGAATCCTGCCTGCATCATTGCTATTCTGGCTTGGGCGGGAGGTTAGGGGAGAGAGGGGAGGGGAACAGCGAAATGTAGTGGTAGTTGGAAATGAGGAGTGTATTAGTTCAACTCACTTCCAGAACTACGAAAGCCAGAAAGTAGAAGTTGTCCTGGTCAATGTGCGGGTTAGCGATGGGACGTTAATTCGTCGATTCGCACAAATCATCAAACCCCGTCCTCAGCTGAATGGTGACATAATGTGGAACCCCCTTCTTTCTTCCCTATTCCTTGAGAGGCGGTATTTCAAGGTTTGGTGCAAAAACACATGATCGCACCGGCTCGCCTGGTGCGTTCCAGCCTGGGCTTATTATCAAATGATGTTCGATTCGGGGGTGGAGTATCGTCGAAAAAATATTATGGTGAAATGTGATTAGGAAGCTTGTCCGGAATGGGGGATGTTAAAACGTTCTGTCCTCACACTTCCACACTGAGAAAACATATTAACAATAACAAAAGCAGCGGTGAGGAGATAATTTTCCTTAAAAAGTCACTGAATTAGGATAAAGAGGGAAGAGGGCAGAATGAAGAGGGGAGAAATTGCCCTATTTTCTAGTCCGAGTTACGGTTCGAGTTCTATTTCCAGAACGGTCTGTAATGCGAACATTTTTAAGAAAATGAATTGATTTACAAAGGCAGCGATTTGTTAGTTTTCATTGAGTTTGATAAAAATGCCTCTTCAGAACACCTCAGGGACGAGAAAATCCAGTTACAGTGATTGAATTCATCAACAGCGAGCATTATGTGGTTCAGGGACTTCGGTCATTTACACTTTACGCATTTTCCGTGGCAACCACAACTAGGTTTGGTAGCAGCAAACCGATCACCTGTCAAGAATATACAGGTTTGCTTCTCTTTGATGCACATTCTGGCATCGTTTAAAATGAAAATTTTCGAATAAACAATCCTGGTTTTTATGCGTTTTTGCTTAAATGCAAACTGCGAAAAAACATATTGCGGGGACTCTGTCTGTGTGCGTATGTGTGTGTATTCATCTGTCCGGGTATTTCAACTCGACAACCAATCAAGCTCCAGCGCCAACATTTTGCCAGTGGGTTCCCCTGCCAAGTGCCACCTCAGGACGGTGGCACCAACCCTCATGCAAGTCTGGGCCCGCGTACGAGAGGATGAAATTTTTGGCGGGAGAATTGCTAACTCGGGAACGAGAAAAGCTAGAAAGCTGAAATTTTGAAGTTATATCCCCCGTTCACACAGAACTCAAAGATTTCAATTTCAGCCCCCAGGTGTGCGTAATTCTTGCGTACTTCCCTGTAATGGTTCCTGACAGGAAAATTTTTAGCTTGGGAACCAGGGAAGCTAGAAGGCTGAAATTTTAAGGGAATATTTTCACCCATTTACAACTTAAAGGTTTCAAATTCAGCCTCCAGGTACGCGTAGCTCTCGTGTACGGGCACTTAAATTCTTGGCGGGAAAATTACTCATTGCTGAGTCATTTTCAAAAAGCAGAATTGTTTTATTTTCTTTTATCCAAAATTTGCGGTGATTTACGGTATTGAGCGCACAAGGTAGGTATGAAGAAACAAACATTCGTGCAGCGGCTAACATAATTACTTCAAGTCTGGTGCAAAAACGCAACATCGCACCGGCTCACCTGGTGCCTTTCAGCCTGGGTTTTGAATTGAGATCAAAACATTAGCGCGGAACAAAAAGTTACCAAGCCCAAACATAGCTGTTGCGGATTGATGAAATGAGACGAAGAAATTTAAATTTTTAATAACAAATAATTAATGAAATGAACTGGTCGATATCGGCACACCAGAAGCGTTGGCACATCAGAAATAAATCCAGCGCAGATCTCAAAAAAGCTTTGGATGCTCACTCTCTCTCTCTTTCTTAGGTGATTAAAAGACCTTAAGAAGAGTTAATGTACGCCAAATGCAGGCGTAACTTTCAAGACTGTTTTAGAAGTATCTGCGTCTGCACTGGCAGAAGGTTTTTATAAAACTGAAAAAGAAAGGCAGTAATGAACTGCGCTACTGCACTGACTCATTTAAAATAGGGAAATATAATGCAAGCGAAGCATAAGTGCAGTTGAAGTTTCATATGGTTACAGTATCTTCAGCGACAAGCAAACGAAAGGTTTTTTAAAAAAACCGAACTTTTGTAGGTGGCGGCTTGCACCCGAAGACTGAATCCAAAATGTTTTTTGCTTAGTTTTGCATAGTAGATAGTTGTCACTAAAAGGGTTCACAGCTAAACTCAACTCGGAATGAACTGACAGTGAATGAACTGAAGAATCAAGAACCTAATTTTAGTGTGTGCTTCAAGAGAAGACCGTGCTAATAAAATTTTAACTTTTTAGTCCCCTTATTAATTGAGGTGTATGATGTGGCGCGAATCATCTGAATTTATTAATTATAAGGAATGTAAGAAGTCAGCCGGGAGTTTGCCACCCGTTGTTCGATCAAAGATTCGCGTACTAAAGTTCTAGCTTTCTAGATCTACTTTTTTCAGAAATTCAAAATTATCACACTGAACACTTTTGAATATGTTGGTCCAAATCCTGCGAAGTTCGGAAGTTGAATTATGAGCCATAAAAAGGTTAAGGATTAGTTTCCCAAAATTTCAGTTTCGTGGCTTGCATATGCATGGAGTTTGTACAAATGCGGAAAAAGCGTATCAAAGTTGTAACGTTCTTTTCGGGATATTCAAACATCTTTGCTCTAAAACTACAAAACTTTGTCTGAATTTATCAGAGACTTGGAACCTTACTTCAGGCTGCCACGAGTTCCAAAATTTTTAGTTTTGAGTCATAACATTTAAAATTTACGTGGTTAGTCCTGAAGATGCGAATCTGACACAGGAAAGCAGAATCAATTTTTTCACATCCTCCTATATCCTAGACACGAGTATGCAATAATTTGTAGATAGATAACCTTTTTCTGCGAATATTCGTCCCTCAAATCCCCTATCTTTTCCTTCAGTCACATTTGATTTTCTTCACTTTGTCGGCAGCCGGTGAACGACGCGTATTAATGAGTAATGCACGAATGGTCGTTTAGTTTCTCGCGGGCACGCACTAAGCGCAGCTATGCCAGGCCCTTTTTTTCTGAACTGCATACCACTTACGGGTGGTGTACAGCCTAGGATCAAAGGACCTGGCCTTGCTGCGCCTTGCATTTGGGAGCATCCCAATAAAATCACCATCACTGGATTACCCATAATCTCTCGCTCTGACTGTTTTCATATTTTTGGCATTGCTGTTTGAGTATTTGAGGTGTAACCTGGCAATCAAAAAAAAAAAAATTATCATATAACATTTAATGATTATTTGAAATGTAACCTGGCAATCGTATAAATTAGCAAAGTAAAAGCATATAAATATGAACCTATCTTGCCTTACCGTCTTCACTCGTGTATCTTAAACTGTAGCCATAAGGCACAAGAAAAAAAGTTGAAATTGCTTTATCGCACTGGCTTCTTAATCCTTGTTACATCGTTCTCCTCCTTCCGCCGACGTAGAAAGTACAAAGAACTTAATGTGATAACGCAATTTTAACTACAAAAAATCGTTAAACTTTTGCTGCTGAATTCAAAAATATGCCTTTGCTACCAATTGTTTGGAGAGATATAAAGTGATCATTTTCTAGCCGCTTTCGTCATGTAGAAAAACTATAAAATTCATTCCAGTATATTGGGTGCGGAACTTCCTGTGAAAGCTGTTAAAAAGAAGTGTGTTTCAGAACCGTGTACAGTCCCGCAGTCATTATCACTGGTGGCAGTGAGTAGTGAGACAGCGACGTTTGCTTGGAAGGCACCAAGGAAAAATAACGGTCCTGAGGTGAGTCCAGTACATTTGTAGCGAAGTTCCATGAATTCCAAAAGATGGATTGTCAACACATGGGATTTATATTTATATATATGTATGTATATATATGTATATATATACGATGTATATAAATATGTATATATCGTTGGGATGCTGCAAACGGCAGGGTAACTGTGCAGGGCTCCCAAAAATACTGAGCTGCATGTCTCCAGAAGACACCTATTGCTTGTTCATTGCGTGCGCGCAATTTCTTCGGAGGGAGCCGAAATGGTTGTTTCCTTTCTAGTGAGTGCCATTTATTAGTGCGCAACACCGATCGATTGTCGCCTAGGCGAACAACATCCCATGCTCATCAGGTTATACTTCACATGGTCGCCACATTGCGCTGCAAGCCACTCATCTGACTGAGAGTATAACTTTTTACATAGCCACAATGAAACAAATCAAGAATCCTTCGCTTCATCGTCCCCTCTATCACAGGCCGCGCTTGCTGAACACGTTATGCATCCGCATGTCAGTGCCTTCAGAACAGTGCTACTGAAGCGGTGAGCACGAACCTTCCCGATACTTTAATGACACCGTTGATGCTGCAGTTTTCGACAGATTCGGTAGTTCTAGGTGTAATTTCACATACACACACATATAATAAACCCTGCCTAAAGTGACATCTTTCTTGTATAATACTCCCTCTCATTACTGAGCTCTTCTGCTTGAATGTTGGTGGTCATATTATAATTGTGGGTAGGGCGTCCTATCAAGTTCGATTTGTTGTTTCGTACCTACGACTGGAAAAGCTCCACGATCAACCACTGAGTGCTCATTAAACTGGCACTGTTATGCCTAGCATACGTCTATTTCGGCCTAATGTTGGCATTAAAATAAACCCAAGCCGTGTTCAGCTTGCTTTGAAGAAACTTTTGAGAGAAGAAAGCATCTAGCAGTCTGATGTTGTCATTGTAATAATATCCGGGGCTTTCTTGAATGCCCTTACTCTTCAGAAGCAGTGGAATACGAGAATTCACCAGAAACCGAGGAATACGGGAAGGGAATGAGTGGGGAGCTGGTACTTTGAACTTCATCTACTTATTTTAGAGCTATTTGATTCTATTCAGTCAAGAACCAGCACCTCAGTTTCATTTCTGGCAGCGTTATCGCTGTGGTAGCGCTAAACGATTCACTATAACAGATCTTTCACCGAATATCAGGTACCTGCATTAACATATAAATTCCATTGTGCAGTACTTCAAGAGTAAGCTGGCACCTGTCCAGTTTATTCCATCGAATAATGATCAAGGCTGTTTGAGCTCTCGCTGTGCTAAACTGGAGTAACCTTTTGTCCTTTTCAAGAAAACATTCAAAGAAAATTTTGGTGAAGTGAAACCATTTGTCGTAGAGTAAACAGCTTCTAATATATATGTCCATTATTTGACGTCATAATAATAACTGTTATCAATAAAAACAAATCAAAAGTATTATGATGTGCCAAACAGAAGGAACCGAAACTATACTTAAGTGCCAGAGAAAAGAAGGCAGCAGCCTTTTCCCACTGCATCTTGGCTACTGTATTAGCGTTCATCTCTCAGAACTAGAGCGTGACAACTTGCACAGCCATTTACACGACTTCTTTTTGGCTCATGATAAGGAATGCTAACAAAAATCGGGTAAAGAAAATACCTTGCTACCTGCAGTGCAGCGTATTGTTCGTTTCTGTTTGGTTTATTATGCGTTTTGTGCTGTGCAACAGCTGCACAAAACGTATATTGTCACAGGGGTGCCTGCGTGTGTGTTCGTGTGTATATAGGTATGTGTGTGCCCGATGCATTTTGTCCGCAACATTCAACTCGAAGACACCAAAAATTAGGAAGATGAAAATCTAGGGTAATGTTTTCCACCCACTTATCACCCCGCAAATTTAACTTCAGCCTTCCCATGCTCCTGGGTACTACGTACGACTCTGTGAAAGTTGTGGCAGGGAAAACTATTATCTCGGGAGCCAAAAGAACTGGAGGGCCTCACAAACTCAAATCTAGTCCCCAAGTATGCCGAAGTCTCACGCACGATCACGTGAAAGTTCTGGCGCGAAAGTCACTCGAGAGCAGAAAATTAGGAGATTGAAATTTTGGAAGGATGTTCAACGTCTAATGTTTCAAATTTAGCTTTCACATACCGGTATGTGAAATTTTTAGTGGGAATAGCGTAGAGCAGTTGGAGTGCTGGTTGTTAAACATTGTTCTAAACAAAGCAGTTAGATTCGAGGCTGCGTTGAAGAGGATTGTATGCAGCTTAATGGACCGAAACACTCCTCTCCAGATTTTTAATGCAAATTAATTTTTCCACTTATTCTTTTAACTATAAATTCTAGTGACAGTTGCTTACATAAAGAATTTGAAGCTACCAGAAAGGTGAATGAACGGCAGTTCAAAATTAATCTCAAAATAAATAGCAGCGCGCAACAGACTAGCCGGTGCGATCATGCGTTTTGTGCAATTCAGCCCATCGAACGATTGCATATTAATAAT